CACAGACCCGGGGGCTTATAAAGGGGAAATGTCTCCCGGTCTGGGGGCCGGAAATCCAAGACCAAGGCAAACCGCAGACTTGATGTCTGGTGTGGGCCCGAGTGTCAGCTCACAGACGGCCCTCTTCTCACTTTAACCTCACACCGAGGGGCCTCTCTGGGGTCCCGCTCATAAGGGCACCGATCCCACTTATGAGGCCTCTGCTCTCATGACCTAAACACCTCTCAGAGGCTCCACCTCCTGATTCCATCACATCAGGGGTTAGAATAGGAACATACGTTTTGGGGGACGCAGCATTCAGTCTGTAACACCCTTCTTCCCCAGATGCTGAGTCTGATATTGTCCTCCCTGCATCCCCTCACCTACTACAGCTCAGCTCTCTCGTGAGCTCGTGTGCCATGCGCACCCCATACGCTGTCATTTCGTCGCCTGCAGTCCTAGCAGCCACAGCTCCCATTCACAGGGGGGTCTCCGGCAAGCTGCCATTGAGCCAGGATGTTACCCCAGACTGTGGCCACGGAGGCCACACTGTGTGGCTTTCTACCACACTGCACTCTCTCCCCCACAGAGTGGCCCGGACCCCTTAGTCCTGCCTGACTGTCCAGTCACAGAACAGAACCCGAGGGCCACCACACCGACAATGACTAACCTGGGCTAAAGATTCACCTGCTCCTCAAGCCCAGGCCACACCTTTCCTTTAGTCGGAAACTTCAGCTCCACCCACTGGGGGGGCAAAGCAAGGAAACACCCAGACTTGAACATGAAGACAGGTGGCAACACCCTCCGCCACCGGGACCGGGGTAGAGGGAGGGGACCCCAAATCGGGATGCTCTGGGGCCCTTCTGCTCCAGAGTCCAGGAGGAATACCCAGAGTAACCTAACACATTTCTACAGTGCCTTTTCCACGCTGAGAAACACTCCGTCAGAAAGTAAGGTCATGTCAAAGGCTTAACTCTGAAGGGAGAGAGAGAGGGAGGGAGGAGGGAGAGAGGGAGGGAGAGAAGGAGGGAGGGAGGGAGAAAAAAAAGGAGAGAGGGAGGAGGGAAGGGAGGGAGGGAGAGAGGGAGAAAGAGGGAGGGAGGGAGTCTCCAGGAGAGCCCAGTGGTCTGTCAGGGGTGCACCCACCTCGGAGTCCCAGAGCCTGCGCCTGTTGGGCTGCTCCCTGGGCTCCTGAAGGCAGGGGCTCCAGGGGAGGAGAGGCAGGCGTCAGGGAGTGCTCTGAGCCCCACCTTCTCACACACACTCCATCACAGCAATCATGTGTTTACATCTGAGTCTCATGTAAGATTGTGTTTGGGGGGAGATGTAACTGGTGCCATGAGAAAGGAAAGGAAAAATGAGAAAAGGAAAAGCAGGATTTGACCCAACTCCTCACAGTACAAAACACCCTTTCCCAAAGGACCTGACTGAAGGACTTGTGTGCATGCACATAGGCATAACCAGTGGACGCAGACATGGAGAGGCCGGGGGGGGGGGGGGGGGGACCTTGAAGGCATGTGCGCGGTGAGGAGGGGGGAGGGCCAGGGAAAGGTCAATGGGGGGGAAAGAAGATATATGTACTACTATTTGTTTTAGTTTAAACAATAAAATAAAAAAATTTTTTTAAAAACCCTGACCCCCAGGAGATAAAAGGACACATCGTCACTGAGCTGGCCAGGCCACCTGACAGTGGAACTTCCAGCATCGAGGCTGGCAGCGCAGGAGGCAGATGCAAATCATGGGACAACCGCAGCCTCTGAGAAGGGGCTGATACCTGGGAAGGGGGTGCCTGAGCGACGCTGAAGGATGAAGAAAGCAGGGTCTCTGGCAGTCACCGCAGCGGTGTGAGAGGCAGCTACTGGTGTGGGCCCGAGTGTCAGCTCACAGTCGGCCATCTATGACAAGCATTCAGCACACCCCACGAAAGGAGTTTCACTCATTCGGGGAGACAGCCTGCCCAGGTGCTGAGCTCCCACGACTCTGAGCCCCGCACCTGATCTCCTTTAACCTCTTCTCCCCCGAAAAGCAAGCAGGGTCAGCGCTACCTCAGAGGTGGGGAAACTGCGGCTCAGTGAGGCTACCAGAGCCGCCCGGTGTCACGCAGCTGGGAATCAGCGAGGCCGGGATGTGAACCAGAGTACACCTGCTCCCGCCCCATGCTCTCCCCACAGGCCCTGTCCGTTAAATGGGAGCAAAAGGAGATTAGGATTCTGAGCACAAGCCGTCAGGGCCAAGTTGTGGCATCTGGAAGGTTCTTTCCTGCTGGGAAACGTAATTCGTCCCAACCATGAGAAAACACAGTTCTCTCCTCACCCTCTGAGTCAGGGGCTGCACGTGAACTAGAAATGAGAGCCGGCCGTGGAGCGACAAGCTGAGCTGTGCTGCCGGCTGGTGTTGGGAATACCAACAATGAGGGGGGCCCGTAAAGGGGGGGAAATAGGGGAGGAAGTCCCTCCTGCCTTCTGAGTAGTGATGTTCCCCACCTGGCCAGCACACACAGACCCCATGTACATACAGATACACACACACACCATGCATGCACACATACATTCACCATGGATGCACAAATTTGCGCACACATGCACACAGAAGCATGTGCACACACATGCGTGCATACACACATACGAATACACATTCATCACGTGTGCACAAATACACGCGCACACGTCATGCACACATGTACATCCATAGTGTGCATACACACATCCAGGCACACGTATACACATACACATACATACATACACTTGTAGCTATCACCACCAATTTGTGTCTGACACATGCGCATCGCATGTGGTAAAGCTCCCCGGTTCCCAGTGATTCCTTCCTTCTCTGCACACATGCCACCCTGTGGGCTCCAAGCAGAGACGTCAGCCCTCTGCGAACCCCACTAAGCCCAGCATGGCTCTGGCAGAGGGAGACCTGGCGCCTGCTCAGCAGGGCAACAAAGAAAAGGCGAGCACTTGCATCTGATGTTCCAAAGCGAAGTTGTATGGGGAGCAGAGCCACATCCATGGTGGTCAGTTTTGGGGTGAGGGCTGCCCTGTACACGCTCTCTACCCCCCACGGCATCGGCTGGGTCTGGGCTCCACAGTCAGAGCCGGTCAGTGAAGGGGGCCCACAGTCATCCCCTGGCCGCGGCACAGGCACACGCAGAGAACACGGCAGAGGACACCGGTTACCGGGCAGAGGCCCCGGTCCTCTGGGACGTGGCCGGTCCGTGAGGGTGAGGGCCTGTGGTGGGGGCTCCCGGGGCCTCCACTGGAACAGCGCCCTTTGCACCCCTCCTTCCCGCTGGACGTTCTCATGGGGTCACAGGCCAACAGTGTGTATGGCCATTGGGCCTCAACCTTAGCCCGGTCCCTGTTTATCCTAAAATGACACTTGCATGTGATATACTGAGACATTAATATGCCATTTACATACCATTTTTTAAAAAGGCCATTGAACGCCCAAAGTAACAATAAAGGAGAAGTGAGAAGAAAGTGGCTTTTCAACACGTGTATTCAGTCTGAGGGAACACGCAGGCCCAGAGGCACGGGAGCCCATTACATCATCAGCTACGGGTGTGGACTTGAGGGGAGGCAGAGGGTCAGAAGCCATTTCTTTTCTTTTTTTTTTTTTTAATATATTTTATTGATTTTTTTACAGAGAGGAAGAAAGAGGGATAGAGAGTTGAAACATCAATGAGAGAGAATCATCGATCAGCTGCCTCCTGCACACCTCCTACTGGGGATGTCCCCACAACCAAGGTACATGCCCTTGACTGGAATCGAACCTGGGACCTTTCAGTCTGCAGGCCGACACTCTATCCACTGAGCAAACCAGTTTCAGCCAGAAGCCATTTCAAAGGAGTCTGGGAAATCAGAGGAGTTGTGCTCAGGGGTAACTGATGAGAGTCTGTCTGACTCAGTTCGGCATGAATGTCGTGGGATTTCCACAATCCTGTGAGACGTGGGGAGGAGCTTCATCGTGGGACCCCCAGGCACGGGGCATCAGCTTTCCCGGACTCCACCACCTGTCCCCTCCATTGTGCAGGCCCCCGGGGCAGAAGCACCCCCTCTGAGACCAGGAAGGCGGGTGGGGACACCAAGGGAGGGGAGCTGGCCTCCCTTATCGGCCGACCAGAGCCGGAGCCTCCAGGCAGAGCACACAGAGCTTCTGAGCTTCCAGGGAAGAGGAGTGGGAAGCCTGGAGGAACCCTCCCTGTCTCCCCGGCCAGCACCAGGCTCTGTCTCACAGTCAGTCACCCCCAGTCTAAGGGAGCACCTCGGCCTGCCCTTGACTCCCCTCCCCGACACACACACATGCACACCCTCTGTGCATCCAACACAGCAGGTGTGCTCTCCCCTTCGGGAACGGGGGCTGTGAGGGGGCACTGAGCCTACGGCAGCCACATTGTGAGGAAGCCCAGGCTGCACGGAGAGGCCGCTTGCAGGTGCTCCAGCTGACAGCCCGGCGGAGGTCCCAGCCAACAGCCACGCCAGCCCCAGATCTCTGGTGACCGGCCTTCAGGTGATCTCAGCCCCTGCCCCGGAGCCATCGCAGCCTTCGGGTCTTCCAGGGGGGTCCCAGGCATCACGCAGCAGAGATAAACCCTGCCCAGGATGGCCGTGTCTGAATTCCTGCCCCACAGGAAGTCAAGATCTAGGATATGAAGGTACTCCGTGCCCGAGCGCCCTCCTTGGTGTGCATGAAGGGGCAGCCGGTCCGTGCGCAGAGGAGCGCCTGGCCCGGGGAAAGTGGGGGCCACCCCACACGCAGCCAGGCATCGCCTTTGCTCCGTGTGTCCTGAAGGGTTGCATGGAGTTGAGCTGTTGCAGGTGAGACACGGGATGGAGGCCACCAGCGGAGTTCCGGAACGCCCTGTGCTTGGTAGATGGTGAGGCGAATGCTCTGGGAGGACAGACACGCCAGCGTCGTCGGTGAGCGGCTGTCCAAAGCAGCCAGTGATGCGTGCGCTCCGAGGCCTCGGCCGTCCTTCCGGTGGGTGCGAGCGGCGGGCTGGGGGGAGCCGGGCTGAGTCAGAGGATGGTGCAGCTGCAGCAGAACCGCTCCGGGTAGTCGGCCGCGTACACCCGGTGGTCGGTACCGTAGATGTAGTAGACGCTCGTCTTCCCCTGGTACCAGTAACTCACCTCCGTGAGCGGGATCAGCTCGATGGTCTGGCGCTGAGGAGACAGCCGGCCGGGGGAAACCTCAGGGCCCTGCTCAGGCCACTCTCCTGCTCCCTACCACCTGCGGGCTGCAGTGTTTGCTCTGGAGTTGGCATCTTGGCTGCCATCTGCCTTTCTATCTGTGCCTCCCACGACATTCCTACAGAAACTCTAAGCTCGGGCCTGAGCCGAACCCTCTGGTTCTAGGTTCCATGCAGTGGAGGCACAGGCGTTCCCACAGTGGGGAGGAATGGGGTGTACGGGGAGTCACCGGCCAAAGGGGACATCTCCCAGGGCGTTTATTTCAGGTGGGGGTGGGTGGGAGGAGGGAGAAAAGTAGAGGAGAAAGTCATTTTAAACGTTTTTATATTACAACAACCATGGACATATTAGGGAGTGGTTATACCATCTGAATTGCATTTCAGGATACACATTGACACCCAAGAAATTCCAAAGTTTGGTAGGCTGATTCGGGCAATTTTCTCAGACCCCTGCCCTCTCTTACCATGGTTTTGCATCCACCCTCCTTTGAGAAAAGTCTCAAATATTCCCCTCCTTTTACAAATAAGGCCCATGGGCTCATGGGATTTCCGGTTTGGAAGATGTGAGGTCAAGCCCCAGCTCCTCACCAAAGCTGGACCTGTTCAATGCTCAGATCTCTCCCAGCATCCTCCTCCACCCAAGAGCCTGGGACACTCCTTCTCTCCTATAGTGTGGCCCTAAAGTCCCTCCTTCCGTGGCCCCTTCTCTGATCAGTGACTCAACAACCTTCCAAACTGGAGGGGTCCTGAATGGGACAAGCAGCCACCTGGGTGAGGGCGCTGGCCTCCCTCTGAGGCACCCGCCCCCATGAGCTGTTTTGTAATGACAACTGCAGACGCGGCTGACCCAGCACAGTCACCCCTGATCACTGAAGTGAAGCATTCCTGGGGACATGCTGTGGGCTAGGCTTTCCGTCAAAACCCTACGTTCTTCCGCATTGGCTCTGCCCCTGCCCAAGACTCAGGTTTGGGGATCTCAGACCCAGAGGGAGGGAGGTGGCATGGCTGGCCCAGAAGCAGGCCCTCTTACTTCCCCTCCTTAAGTAAGGAGCCCAAGTCCTGTTGCTGTAGGTGGTGGTTCAGGGCCCTGGGGAAAGGGTGAAACAGGATGGGGATGGGGGAGGGTTTGAGAAAACGCTCCCTACTACACGGGGGTGGGGGGGTTGAGGGGAGGCATGGCATTGCAGCAGGCGGGGGATCAGAGTCAGGGTGTGCGTTTCCACAAAGCTTTCCATGGGATCCCACACTTCCTCTATCTGGGCCTTGGTTTCCTCATCTGTGAAATGGGAACAAAACTTCTCTGTCACAGGGGTTGCTTAGACAACCAAATGAGACTGTGAGACTGAGACTTCTCCACATGCCAGAGACTGGTCTCCAACTAATAACTTTGGAAATAAAAGACCTCCCTGGACATTTTGGTACAGAAGGTTGTTCACGGTGGCCAAGACATGGAATGGCCAGCGTGTCCTTAGATAGATGATGGATAAAGAAGATGGAACACGTACACAATGAAATACTACTCAGCCATAAGGAAAGATGAAATGCTGCCATTTGCCACAACATGGATAGATCTTGAGAACATTATGATAAGCAAAAAAAAAGTCAGGTGGATAAAGTCAACAGCCACATGATTTCACTCATATGTGGGATATAAAACTAAAATCAACAAATAAGAAACTCACAGACACAAACAACAGTATGGTGATGATCAGAGAGGGGGAGATTGAGGAAGGTAAAGGGGATCAAATACATGGTGATGGAAGGAGACGAGACTTTGAGTGGTGAGCATACAATGCAATCAGTATACAGGTGTATTTAGAATTGTACACTTGAAACCTACATAATCTCATTAACAAGTCATTCCAATAAATTTAATACGATTTTTTTTAAAAAGAAAAAGAAAGTTGTCTCATCCTTACAACTTTGAGGCCATTTTAGCATTTCTTTTTCCCCAGGAGAGAAACTCAGCTTCAAAGAGGAGGAGGCGGTGGCCATGGCCAGGTTAGACTGCACAAGAGCCAGGATCTGAGCCCCCCTGACAATCCCCTTCCCAGAGCTGGCCCTGGGCATTCCCTGTCCAAACCTCACCCTCCATCCAGCAGCTTCCAGCCAGCTGCCAGGAAGCCTAAAGCCACTTCTGGGGACACGACGGGTACCACTGCCATCTATGGGCCACTAGGATACAGCACCAAGGCAAGCCTAGCCCTGGGGACGTGGACGGCACCATTGCCACCTAGTGGCCACAGGGATACAGCACCAAGGCAACCCAGCCTGGCTGCCGCCCCCGCCCCGGGGAGGCTTGGGGACAACGGGCTGGGACTTGGGAAATGCCCTGAGTTCCCACCCTGCCTATCACCCTGGATTTGAGATTTCCCTTCCCCTCTGAATATCGGGGAGGTTTGGGTCAAAATCACACTGAGACACCTCCCTGCTCGAAACCCTGCAGTAGCTTCCTGTCGCTCTCAGCATAACAATCAAACCTGTCACCACGGACTGCCCGTCACCACGGACCTGTCCCGCTTGCTGCCCGGGCCACACTGGCCCCAGCTCGGCACCCACTCCACCTCGTGTTCCTCAGACTGAGACTCCCCTGCCACCCTCCCTCCCTGCCTTCTCAGGAAGGAGCCCCAGGCAGAGGGAACCCCCCTTATGGGACCGCGGAGCCCCCTCCTGGTCCCAGACGCGGCCTCGGCCTGGCCCGCTCACCTGCTGAAGGACGCGGGCCCTGGAGGCCAGGGTGGCGGCGCTGTGCTGGGCGACGCCGCGCTGGGAGGCCAGCGAGATCTCCCGCAGCGGGAAGTCCGCCAGGGGGTACACCTGCGGAGAGACACGCACGGCCTCATCGCCGGCCCAGTGCCGGCACCTGGAGCCCCGCGATGGGTTTCAGGTGGGCGGAGCGAGCCCAATTGGGAAGGGCCCCAAGGAGGCCACGCAGCAAGCCGGTGGTGGGGCTGAAGCCTCCAGACCCTCAATGACCCACAGCCTGTTGGGAATGCCACTGAGAGGGGGCCGAGGACACAGCACTCCTCACCACCAGGACCCCACGGGACCCCAGCAAGGCCCTGAGGCTGCCTGGGGAGGGGGGGTGTGCGGGTTCCCGGGGGGGCGGGGGGGTGCCTGCCTGGGGCCTGGAGGAAGTGCAGCGATGGGGCAGAGGAAGGAGGCTGAGAAATCCTGCTCAGCCACGGGAAGAAGGGAGACCTGGCATTTCCACCTGGAGGGGGTCATGCCAAGTGAAATAAGCCAGACAGGAAGACAAATACCGTATGTTCTCACTTGTATGTGGAACCTAATGAGCAAAGCGGCCAGACTCATAGATACAGAGAACAGACTGACGGCTGCCAGAGGCCTGTGAGGGGTGGAGGAAGGGGGTGAGGGGAGGTCAAAAGACACGCGCTTGCGGCTATAAGAAGTCCCAGGGACGTGATGAACGGTGTGGCAGCTGTCGTGAGTAAGACAGCGTCGGACACATGAAGGCTGCTGAGAGAATAGATCTTACAAGTTCTCGTTACAAGAAAAAAAAAAAAAGCCAAATAACTATGTATGGTGATGGATGTTAACTAGACTTCTCGTGGTGATCATTTCACAATATGTACATAAATCCAATCATCGTGTTGCACACCTAAGAGCTAATCTAATGATACATGTCAATGATATCTCAATTTTTTAAAAATGCGTAGGACAGAGTGAAAGAAGCCAATCTAGAAAGGTCACAATACTGTAAAGAGAGAGAGAAAGAAAGAAGAAATAAAAGGAGGCTGAGCAAACAAGGACCCTGCTCAGGCCTCCCACCAGGCAGAGCTCTGCCGAGGCCACAGCAGGGCAGGCAAACCCTTTCCGTAAAGGGCCACGGCATCCGTACGCAGGCTCCTCTGTCCCAATGACTCTGCCCCGCAGCACAAAGCCAGCCACAGACAACACCTAAACCAACGGGCATGGCTATGTTCCAATAAAACTTTATTTATAAATGCAGGACAAGGGCCTGGGACAGCCCCTGGCCCACAGGACCCTCCCTGACCTGGCTGCTGGCACAGCTCGTGTCTTAGCTCCTCGCTCCACCTGGCTGTCTGCCCTCCAGCGCCCCTGCTCTGCCGCTCTGCCAGGCCTCTGCGAACTGTTACGTCTGCCAGACACCCTCACTCCCATGGCCACCTGATCCACCCCCACTGTCACCGTTCTAAATGAATGCAGCGCCCACAGAGGAGCCAGAAGAGCCAGAGAGGCGCGCAGCTTGGTGTGGTGCTTGCACACCCGCCTTACCGTCGTGTTTTCGTCCTTAAAGAGGTTCTCTCCTTTGGCTTTGGCTAGGAGCTGTGCGGGGCAGTTCAGCCGGTGCTCAGACACAAACTCAAACAGGCTGTTCTTCCTGCAGGTAAAGCGCATGGGGGGTGGCAAGAACGTGGGGGTGGGGTCAGGCAGGCCTGGGCTGCAGGGACTGGGCAGGTTCTTGACCTCCCTGGGTCAGCATGGTCAGCTGTGCAGCCAGGCAGGTACCTGCAGCTCATGCCATCCTTCCCTGTGCATGCCTCGCAAAGTGCCCCCTGGGGGAACCCCTTAAGGCCTGGACCCTTCCCAACCTGGGGAGTTAGGACCCAGCGGGGACGCCAGGTGTGGAGAGGCTACGGCACTAGGAAGTGGTGATGTGGGCACGTGAAGTCGGTCAGTTCTAAAGCCGCCAGCGGCCTGCCACTCTGTATTTCTTCCAGGGATCTCTCTTCCCTTCCCTGGTAGCTTTAGCCCTTCCCACACGCGTCCCCTCTCCCCCACCCCCCACCCCGGCGGGTCCCTGTACTGTGTGCACAAGCCCCAACCACGTGGTCTCTCTGCAGAAACTAGTTCAGGCCAGGGGGCCACGCACGGGGCCACGCACGGAGACACGGTCACTTACCACACGATGACCAGCTGGACAAAGTGCAGCAGCTTCTTCTCGCCCTTGCAGGTGGCACAGGTCTTGTTCCCCCGTCCCGAACACGTGCTGCACCTGTGAGGGACAGGGCATCAGTGCCGCTCAGACGCTCCCAGGCCCTGGTGGCTGCTGGGGGCCCCACCCCAACCCTTGTTCATGGAGGGACTGTGCTGGGCATGGGCTGCTTCCACCTTCCCACAGTCTAGACCTCTTTCTTCCCGTGGCAGCGCCCCAATTCCCTTCGGAGACCACCCTTCTCCCACCCCGTCTCTAGGGTTCATGGGCTTGCCCACCCCGTCTATGACCTGCTTTGTCCATCTCCCTGGCCCAGTGGCTGATACAAAGATGGGCACGTGACTCAGGGACATGCCATGAGACCCACCCTAGAATTTCTATTGGAACTTTCAGGAAAGGGATATTCTCTCCTAATGCGGTTACTAAGCCGTGGAGCTGCTGATGCTCCCCTCTGCCACAACAGGAGACAGCGTGCCTGAGACTAACACCGTCACAAAGGAAAGCACAGTGCGGAGTAGAGACAGATTCCCAGAGAGACTGTTTAAGCACCTGGATCCAGCTGTGCCCGAAGCCTTCCCAGAAATCTATTCCTGGGTGTTTCTGTTCGGGAGGACTATACATTTATGTTTTAGCTGAAGCGGGTTTGAATTGGATTTCTTTCACTTGTAAATGAAAGACACCTGAGTTTCTGTCCCCATCGAAAACCTTTTTAGGAGGGGACAGAAACTCAGATGTCTTTCATTTACAAGTGAAAGAAATCCAATCACAGGGGGCAGTGACAGGGGGCAGGCCAGCTAGAACGTCACCATCGGGCTGGTTAGAAGGACGGCCAGGGCCTTCAGGAGCTAGAAGTGTCTTTAACCAACACAACTTTGAATGATTTCACTCCTCACGGTTTCCTGTTTCCCTTTAAAGATTTATAGCCAAAACCGATTTGGCTCAGTGGATAGAGCGTCAGACTGCAGATTGAAGGGTCCCAGGTTCGATTCCGGTCAAGGGCATGTACCTTGGTTGCGGCAGTAGGGGGTGTGCAAGAGGCAGCTGATCGATGATTCTCTCTCATGGATGTTTCTAACTCTCTATCCCTCTCTCTTCCTCATTGAAAAATATCAATAAAATATATATTTTTAAAAAGATTTATAAATACATTAAAGGCCCCGGTTTACAAAATGCAAAGCCCTGTGAACAGAGATGCAGCTTTGTTGGTTGTTTCGTCAATCCACCAGCCTTCCTGGACACCTCCGTTCACCCTGCAGTGAGTTAAAAGCAAAGTTCTGCCCAGGCCCAGGCCCTCAGGGAGTCAAGAATCTCAGCTTTGGCTGCTAGTCTGTGAACACTCCCCGCGCCAACCTGAGCAGGAATGGGTCTCCTTCCTTACTTTCCCCCTCCTTCCCGCAACACCTTGACCCATTGCTTGAGGGGTTCCCGTCTTGTCAGAAATGTCAGGCCCCCCTCAGGAACAGCCAGCCGCCCCACAGACATGTGCCCACAGAGCCTTGGGACCCAGGATTGACAAGCAGACAGGGATCCTGGTCGCCTTTCAGAAGGCAGACAATGAAAACCAGGGAGACCTGCTCCTACCTGTGCCTGCCCGACCCCGCGCACAGCTGGCACCGCCCGGGCTGCTTGGCTCTGCGCTTGGCTCCGCTGCAGGAGGGGCACCTCACCTGCCGACACACAGGCCTCAGTACCCCCGCCGCACAGGGAAGTGGGGCAGAGAGCCTCCCACATGCGGTCAAATCCTGATCCGGTGACTGAGCAGCCCTTCCCCTCCCTGGATCTCCACCCCTTCCCCTGGACAATGGAAGGGTGGGACGGTGTGATCTTAGGGCCCCTCTGGAGGCTTTCAGGGGCTCTCCGTCCTCCATCCCGGGGGCAGCTGCCTCCCTGCTCCTCATTGAACCCTGTAATTCCTGGGACTGTCCCCTAACCAAGCAGCCATGGCGGAGGGAGCAGGGAGAGGGGCAGGTGGCCAAGGGGTCTCATCTTGGAGAGCCCCCAGAGGTGACTCAGGCAACACTCCCAAGGGGTCTCAGTGTGGGCGCTAGGGACACTCCAAGGGGAGCCTGAGGGAGGAGGGGAAGGAGGAGGAGATGAAGACGAGGGGGGGGGGAGGAGATGTAGAGAAGGGGGAGGAGAAGGAGATGTAGAGGAGGGGGAGGAGGAGGAGATGTAGAGGAGAGGGAGGAGGAGGAGATGAAGAGGAGGGGGAGGAGGAGGAGATGAAGAGGAGGGGGAGGAGGAGGAGATGTAGAGGAGGGAGAGGAGGAGGAGATGAAAAAGGGGGAGGAGGAGGAGATGAAGAGGAGGGGGAGGAGGAGGAGATAAAGAGGAGGGGAAGGAGGAGGAGATGTAAAGGAGGGGGAGGAGAAGGAGATGTAGAGGAGGGGGAGGAGGAGGAGATGAAGAGGAGGGGGAGAAGGAGGATATGAAAGGAGCAGGGGTGGAGGAAGGCACAGAAATGACATTGGGAGAAGGCGAACAGCAGGTGTGAAGGCACAGAATAGACTGGGCAGGCGTGGCCCCACATGGAGTTCAGGCGGGCAGAGGTGTGAGCACACAGCAGGTGGAAGGAGGGCAGCCACGGGGTGGAGTGGCAGGCAGGCAGAGGGAGGGTGGAGGGAGACACAGCTCAGAGTGATAGTGGTCAGCATGTGCCCAGAGGATTAGGAGTAAATGGGAGAGCTGAGAATACGTGAGGAGCTCGGTGCGACTCCTGGAACCATGAGTAGCCCTGGAAGTGTATGCAGGAAGGCTGATGCCACCACAGCCTGGCTGTGTGCTTAGGGGCCTGTCCGGGGTGGAATAGTGTCCCGTCTCCCCCCACCAAAATTTACACCCAACAGAGCCTCAGAAAGTGACCTCATTCGGAACTCGTCTCCGCAGACTAAGTAGTTAAAATGAGGTCATCCTGGACTAGGTGGGCCCTAAGTCCAATCCCAGCGTCTTTATAAGGAAGCCAGGAGGCCATAGAGACACACAGGGAGATGGCCATGAAGGGCGGGGGCGGAGACTGGCGGGATGCAGCCACAAGCCAAGGATGCCCAGGAGTGCCAGCGGCTGCCCAGAGCTCAGGCGGTGGCTCCTCCCCCAGAGCCTCCAGAAGGGACCGCCCCGCTGACACCCTGATGCTGGACTTCCAGCCCCCGGACTGTGAGAGAATAAATGCCTTTTGTCCTAAGGTAGGCGGTCGGCAAACTCATTAGTCAACAGAACCAAATATCAACAGTACAATGATTGAAATTTCTTTTGAGAGCCTAATTTTTTAAACTTAAACTTCTTCTAATACCACTTCTTCAAAATAGACTTGCCCAGGCTGTGATATTTTGTGGAAGAGCCACACTCAAGGGGCCAAAGAGCTGCATGTGGCTTGCGAGCCACAATTTGCCGACCACAGTCCTAAGGCACCGTTTGTGGTGATCTGTCACAGTAGCCCTCGGAAACTGGAAGCCCTACGAACATGACCTTCTCTGCACCCATCACTCTGCACTATGAGGGGAGAACACTGTGCCTCCCCCCGGCAGGGGACCCTGGTGGGAAGGAACCAGGCCTTAGTCCTCTTGCTGGGCCTAGGGCCAAGCAGGTTACTCAATGAATGCTCATAGATGGGTGAGAAAAAAAGAGCAAAATTAAAATCATAATCCATCAAAGTGAAAAGGGCCAATAGAAACCACCCAATCCCCCTTTCCCATTTTACAGGTGGGAAAGCGGAGATCCAGCCAGGGGAATGACTTCCTGGGTCCCACTGTTAGGCCCCCAGCCCAACCCTCTGCCCCAGGGGGCTCCTCTGCCCACACTGCACTTACCGTCAGCCACACAGACTCACCATGGAGGCCCCGTGGCAGCCGCTGCACTTGTAGTGTCCCCGCCCGTGGCACTTGTGGCATTCCTGAGGGAGAAACACTTTCCTCTGGTCCAGTTTCTCAGTCACCTGCCGTTTCCCCACCTCCACCCCTGCCCCTGCCCCCATGTCACCATCCCGAACAGAGCTGCATCATTCAGAGCCAGAGGGGAACGATGGCCTTTCCACGGACCAGCATCCCAAGGGCCATGACTGCCGAGCCCAGGAGAGCTCAGAGCCCGGCCGGCCCGGCCTGGGTGCTGGGAAGGGGACCTGCTCTCCCAGCCCCGCGTCCTAACTCACGCCCAGGCTGAGTCGCAAAGGCCTTGTCCTTTGCCCACTGAGTGGCTGAGGGGGCTGAGGGGGCTCTGGGAGCAGGAGCCGTAAAAAATGGACAGGCATTTCTGTGAACGGCAACGAGCTAGCTACTGGAGTGGAATCGCTGGTCAAAACACTCCACTGAGCTCCCGGCGTCCTCCACCTCACAGCGCGAGGAAGACACACGGGCACATCGCAGACCTGAGTCCCCGTCCACAGTGGAGACCAGGCAGGTGATCAGCTGAGACACCACAGGAGGGGTCTCGGCCGTGCTCCTGTCACAGGCTCGGTTACCCTTGCTTTGGGGCATGATTAAGTTCCCGTGAAACAGGAGAGAAGTTAAACCCTGTCCCCCTACTAACTTCCACGCGTTTTCCCTTTATATGTTTCCTTCAGCACTTCATCCCTTCACCCGTTCACGGTCAGGCCACAGGGAGTGGGTGGGGTGGGGGCTGATAAAGGCTCAGAGGTTTAGGAATGTGAATGCTCACCATTTAAAGCTGGAGACAGACTGTGTCAATGGGACCGTTCTTTTGCTGTGTGAGTAGACAGCCAAGAAATAGCCCCACAGCCCGGGTTTGGGGTTTCCTTTCTAGAAGCTAACGCTCCAGGAAACCCAGAGCCTCTGGAAAACCAGCCCGGGAGAAGCGGGTGTTAAGACAGTCGTGTTACCTTGACCAGTGACGAGTGAGGGACCTGGAACTTCCTGGTTTCCTCCTGGAACATCGGGGGGACCTGGACCTTGATGTCCCAGAGCTTGGGGGAGGTCCCTCTTCTCGGCCCGTCCACCACATGGTCTGACACAGAAGCGGTCGTTGTAAGAACAGCAAAAGGCAGCCAGGATAAGCTTTCGTTTAGTCGCCAAATAGTGCGAGCCTTCCCTTGGTGCCAGGCGTAGGCCAGACCCTGGTGCTGCCGGGAAGGGTAGGTAGGGGCCCCCTAGAGTTCGTAGTGAAGCACCCCAGCTTTGGGGTTGAAGAGTCTTGGGTTTGACTCCTGATTCTTCTACTTCCTAGCTGTGTCACACTAGACAAGTTACCTGACCTCTCTGACCTTCAACGGTCTCATCTCTAAAATGGGGATCATTTCCTACTTACCACAGGGGATGGCCCTGACAATTACACAGACGGCATCTACATGCCAGCGCGGGGCCATCAACATGGGGCGCAATACACAGGAGCTATCCCCCCATCGTCTCCTCCCCACCGGCTTCTTCCTCTTCTGTCCAAGGGGACCGACGCAGCTACAACCCGAGGGTAAGCGCTTTGGCGAAGAATCACATAAAGGGCTCCGAGACCCCAGAAGATTGCCTCACTCTGCCGAGGACCAGAGTGGTGGGCGAAGGAATGCCGAAAGGCTTCAGAAAAGAGGCAACTTGTGAGCTGAGACGTGAGGGATGAGACAAAGTGGCCAGCAGAGAAAAAGGTAGGGTGTGGGCTTCCTAGACAGAACCCAGGGCCTTAGCGGGGTCGGCTGGAGGGGGGCTGGCTCAGTGAACGGGGACCTGGGGGGGCAGCAGACGCCTGAGCACACATGCTGCCCGTGCCATCTCCCCCGTGGCTGCACGAGCAAGGCCTTCTCAGGACCTTCTGCTAACTGCTTTCTGGACAGCAAGCAGGCGCGGAGACCAGCATGGGGAAGTGAGTCTCCAAGATGAAAGCCTCCGGGGAAACAGAGGCCCGAGCAGAGCATCTCATTCAGGTTACTGCTAAGACCACCCCCAGCCATATCTGCTCCCAATGACACCCACTGCAGACAACTCACTAGTGAAGGGTTGAAATGTCCATTCACTGATCCTGGATTCGCTGAAAGTCTCCAGTCGATACTGCAGAGAAACAGACATCACGTCCACCCACACACTCCCCGGCCCGTTAGGAATGCTGAGCGCTGTGCAAAGCGGGGAACCAGGGGTCCCGCACACCCACGGGGGCTACTCAGAGCAGGCTGCCCACAGAGACTTCTGTTCCAGCCGCCCCGGCACGGCAGCAGGGAGGTCCGCGGGCCCAGGAAACCTCCCCGATTTCAGCTCACAATGGGTCGGATTCAGGTCCCCATTTCTTTACACAAGGAATGTTCTAGGAGGCAAGTTTTGGAGCAGCAACTGCCTCTGACAGATGGAGGCCCCTGGAATCCATCCACTGCCCTGAGGATCCCCTTCCAGAGGAAGTGATCTGCCTGACGCCAACACCCTCCTGGCTCCTCGTCCTCAGAATCACAGCGGGAAGGTATGGAGGACTTCACCTGGCTCCTCCTTCCTCACGTGAGGAAACGGAGACCCAGAGAAGTCAGTGGACTTGCCCAAGGCCACACAGCTCCGCAGAGGCCTCTCTCCCCAGATCCCTGCTCTAACCAGTCCCTGCCAGGCCAGCCCCCCATGCCAGCCCCTTACCCTGCACCCAGTCCCCCAGGCTGGCCCCTTACCCTGTACACAGCCCCTCCCCCAGACTGGCCCTTACCCTGCACCCTCCCAAGATTGGCCCCTTCCCTGCACACGGCCCCCAAGGCCGGCCCCTTACCCGGCACAGCATCTGCTGCTTCATCTGCTGGATGACCAGGTCCCTGGCGGCTGAGCGGCCATAGCAGCATTTGGAGCTCACGAAGCTGAGGAGGGCTTCACGCGCCACCTCCTCCGTCACCATGGGGACTCTGCTGGGGACAGAGCAGAGAGGCAGGGGGTCGGGGGAGGGAAAGCACTCAGGAGTCCCTCGATGGAGGTGAGTCAGCAAAGGGGTCCGTGGGAACCGACACCCGGTGGGACAAGGACAGTAACACTGAGTTACGGAAGTGTGAGCTCAGGAGTCGGCTGATAGAACCTCAGAAATAAAAACAAGAAGACACTTAAAGATGAATTATGCCATTTTGAGATGAGGGAATGGACAGCCAGAGAAGGCATCACAGCTAAGGAGGTGGGACTAGTGAGGTCCCTGCCCTCAGGAGCTTGGTCTCGGTCAGAGGTGCTGTGAGCCCCTTCACGGGAGGGCCGCAGCCAGGAACCAGCCAAAGCCAGCGACTCACCATGAGCTGGGCCAGAGCACGGCCATGGAAGGCAGACCCTCCTCAGCCTGCTCTCTGGACACGTGTCCCCCCTTCCCCCCCTCCATTGCAAAGCTCTTCTCTGAGGCCCAGCTGCCAGGTCCCCTCCTGCAGAAGCCCTCCCGCCCAACCTCTCCTTCCTCTCCACTCACAGCTTCACACGCGTCTCCACAGCAGCCCAGCCCCAGTGTCAGCCCCTCTCATTCGCATTGCATCTCCAGCCCCAGGCCCTGGCCGCCTGCTGGAGGCTGAAGGTTTATGCCCGTGCCCTCCCATCCCCTCCCAACAGGGAGGAGAGGTGGCCGAGGGGAGGCCCTCCAGGCTGCCCCTCTCTGGGCACAGAGCTGGCTGTAACCCTGGAACTCCGCCCCAGTCCTCGCAAAACAAGGAGGGCGTGGGCCTCTCCGGGGAGCAGCTGGCTTTTCTGCAAAGGGCCAGAGAGGAAATAGTTCAGGCTCTGCCTCTGACACATGGAGGCCAGCTAGTCTGTGTCTCAGCCGCTCACCTCTGCCATTGCAGTGGGAACGCAGCCAGTGAGACAGAGGAGAGGGCTGTGTTCCCATAAAACTTGATTCACAAAAGTGGGCGGTGGGCTGGGTTTGGCCCCGGGGCCATAGTTTACAACTATGGTTTTCAACTCTGGTTTGGTAGCCAAACAGCCTACAGAGCATGGTAAGATACGGGGGGGGGGGGGGAGCCTCTGGGGGGTAAGGGTGATGGAGAGGTTTACCACCAGTGAACTTGGCTCTGGAAGGGTCACCAGGTCACAACTGCAGCTCACCTGTGTTGCAGGAACGAGGACCAGCATGTTTGTTGCTGGGGTCTCCGCGGGGCCTCCAAGGGCGGGAAGAAGATCTGCTGTCCTGGAAGAGAGGGGGGAGTCAGGGTTCGCTCAGAGGAACGGACACCTGCGGTGAAAGCAGGAAAGACGGGCGAATGTGAGGGGGAGCAGGTGAAGAAAAGAATGACGGGTCCCAGGTCAGGAGCATTCTGACCTAAAGGGTCACGGTCATGGGATGCTCGTGGACACAGGGCTTATGCCCATGTCCTCTCACTCCCTCCCAACAGGGACAGGGCCTTCCCGGGCCCCCAGAGGAAAGGGGAGCTAGCCCAGCACCAACCCGTTCCAGAGATGTCCCCCCAAGCAGCAGAAGCCCCAGGAAGAGGGTGTAGGAACCGAGACCCCACAGACTTACCGCCTCCTTGAACAAGGCAGTCACAGCTGGGCAGCCTCTCCAGGAGCTCGCCTGGAGGCTCCAGAGGGCTCTCGGCCTCGAAGCTGAGGTCGGCCGCACCTGCAGAGAGATGGGTGGTCCGAGCCTTAGGGAGGGGGGGAGGGGCGTCTACGGTGACTTCGCGGGAAGCCAACAGGTGAGGGCAGGCACATTCCTAAAAGCCTCACCTTAACCAAGCCTGGCTCTCTCTGGCACCCTCAGGAGCCAGAACACATCTGCAGGGTGAGAGGGAGGCGTGGGGGTGAGTAGCTGCAGCAGTAGCAATAAGAATGGAAAAACTTTGAGAATGGCAGCTCCTGGCTGATGGCCACCTGCCCTTTGTGACACCAGGACAGGTGCTTTATAAACATAGTCACAGTCCACCGCCCTGGAGACAGATTCTGAGTTACAGTGGTCACACTTCCTTAAGGCCTCTTTCTTTCTCTTCACCCCTACCCTGATCCAGACACCATTCAGGACAAACCAGCCAGCCCCTCCCCATGCACCAGGCCTCTATTCTGTCTAATAAAAGAGCAATATGCAAATTGGCTGTCACTCCAACACACAAGATGGCTGCCCCATGTGGTCAAAGATGGCTGCCCCCATGTGGACACAAGATGGCTACCACAAGATGGCCAGCAGGGAAGGACAGTTGGAAGGAACCAGGCCTGCAAGGGAGAGCAGTTGGGGGTGATCAAGCCTGCAGGGAAGGGCAGTTGTGGGTGATTAGGCCAGCATAGGAGGGCAGTTGGGAGGGACCAGGCCTGCAGGGGAGGGCAGTTAGTGGGGACCAGGCCTACAAGGGAGGGCAGTTAGGGGCAAACGGGCTGACAGGGGAGCAGTTAGCCATTAATCAAGCTGCAGGGGAATGGTTAGGGTGTGATCAGACTGGCAGGCAGAAATGGTTAGGGGCAATCAGGAAGGCAGGCAGGCGAGAGGTTGGGAGCCAACAGTCCTGGATTGTGAGAGGGATGTCTGACTGCCCTTTTAAACGAGCAGTCGGACATCCCTCGAGGGGTCCCAGATTGGAGAAGGTGCAGGCTGGGCTGAGGGACACCTCTCCCCCATGCACGAATTTCATGCACCAGGCCTCTAGTGATGTTATAAATATCCAAATGACCCTTGGCAGAAAAAATGTTCCCACCCCTGCTCTAAAGGAAGTACTGTCTAAAGCTCCTGCTCTGGGACATCCAAATTATAAACGTCCCTTCTTCCTTTTCACAAATGAAAGTAAAGGAAATGTCTTAGGAGTTCTAACTCAGAAACATGGAGCTCATCATAGACCTATAGGATATTACAGTCAGCAACTAGACTGAGTAGCAAAAGGGCTCCCGCCTTGAATGAGGGTGATATTTGCTACAGCCATGTTCTATAAACAGACAGAAGAGACAGTAATGGGCTCTCCGTTAACCATTTATGTTCCTCGTTCTGTTGAATCTTTGCTGAACTCTCATCACACTCAACACTTCTCTATCAGTTAACTGGCTTCTTATGAAATGCTCCTGCTCTCTGCACCTAATCTTACCTTTAACTCATTGTAATCATCTTAAATCTGCAGCTTTATTACCCTCTTTACAGGATGAAAACACCTACAATTGTGTTTTGCTTACTTACACCTTTTTGCTCCTAGGAATGATTTACAAGAAACTCCTAATGACAATGCTGACTTAATTTGGTTCACAGATAGATCTTATCTGAAGGATGAACAGGGACATTTCCAAGTTGGATATGCAATAACTTTCACAGTGGATATAATTGAAAGTTCTTATCTACCTGAAATAAGATCTGCCCAGCAAGCCGAATTAACTGCTCTAACTTGGGCTTGTCAATTGGCCAAAGATCGAGTAGCCGATATTTACACTGATAGCCGCTATGCATTTGATGTAGCTCAGGACTCTGGAATGTTATGGAAGCAATGAGGCTTCTTAACTTCCTCAGGAAAGCCCATAAAAATGGAAAGTCAGAGGAGGGGGTTTATGTGAGTGGGAATATCTGGAATAGTTTCAACAATAAAGGTACTTTTTTTTTAAAATAGGAAACTGGTTGCAGAATTTGTAGATGGCATTCAGCAACCAAAACAATTGACAATTATCAAAACCCCAGGGCATTCTAAAGCTACCACCATGAGCAAAAGGAAATCTTTCCACTGATGCTGCAACTTAGCAGGCAGCATTGAACAGTCAAGTTATCCAGGCCTCAGAATGTTCTTTGCTTTCTATTAAATCAATAAAAGATTATCTTTCCTACTATCAACAGATAGCTACAGAGGAAGAAAAGGGAACATGGCAACAAAAAGGGGGAACCTTTGACCCAGAAAGACGAATATGGCTTGGACCCAATCGGAAACCTATTTTACCTATAGGGGCCCAACTCCCTATGCTTCAGCATGTGCCAGAGCTAACACATTGGGGTTCTGAAAAGATTATCTCAGGGAGTAAACAATATTACTGAAAGCCTTCTCCTGCTGTAGCTCATAACGTGTACAGCAGATGTTTTCTGTCTAAAATAACCCAGGAAAACCACTCCAGGGATCCCAAGGACATTTCCCACTTCCTTTGGGTCCATCTGAAATAAGATAATTGGATTTTATCCAAATGCCACCATTTCATGGATACAAATATTTATTTGTTATGATTTATATGTTTGGGGTCCATTTAGTATATCCCTTGCAGGAGAGCAATAGCCTTAAAAGTTGGTAAATTGTTATTAGAAAATATAATTCCCAATTGGGGAATTCCCTATGAATTACATAGTGACCAAGGGACTCAGTTCACTGAACAAATAATAAAATCATCTGTAACATTTGGCCTATACCACAGCATTTTCATTATGCCTATCACCCCCAGTCTTCAGGACTTGTGGAATGTACCAATGGTACAATCAAAATTAACTAGCCAAATTTCAGGAGCCTTTCATTGTCCCTGACAAAGACTTTTCAAGGATGAGAAGCCGACCACAGAGGCAGACAGCTACACAAGACGTCAAGTAGGCCTGAATGCTCAAAAACTTACACTGTTCAAACCTTGTTCTTTATATCACCTAATTGTTATTGATTAAATGTACATAAAATGATTTTTATATTGTTATTATCCTCCTTATTGTTTCATAGTGGAAACAGTATCTGTCTTCCTAGACCAGGGGTCGGCAACCTTTAAGACATAAAGAGCCACTTGGACCCGTTTTCGAAGGAAAAAAAAAACCTCGGAGCCGCAAAACCATTGCTACATAAGTGATACAGCTCCCTGCCCTGCTATCTGCCCTGCTAGTGTCGGACCTGCTGGGGGCCGCAGCAAAGGTTCAAAAGAGCCGCATGCGGCTCCGGAGCCGCAGGTTGCCGACCCCTGTCCTAGACCCTTTCCCTTATTAGACATGAAAAATTTAACTTGGGTACCTGCTAATCTTTCCCACCTACTAGACAATGATATTCTGATTATCAGTTATGATAATGAAGTTAACACTTTGCTGGCCACACACAGGTCTTCTCCTATAAATATAAGCATTGGTACATTTTTTTTTCCTGGATATATCTATTATAAAGGATAAGAATGGAAAAACTTGGGCAAATACCTCCAAGAATGCCTCCCTGATAATTCCCCTGGTAGAATTATATATGGATCTAATCTATCAGTATTGTATACCTATAGGAATGGATGATGAAAGGCTAAGAAAAACAACTGGATGTGATGGGGAAAAGCTTGCAGTGACCTGCCCTGTCTGTCATAAAATACCTTATCCTCAGACTCACCAGCCATGCTCTTGTTGCTGGATGTCTGTGAAATCAGAAAAAAATCAATAGGTCCCCATTACAAAAATTATGAGGATTACCTGGTAGGTAAATATGTCTGTAACTACTCCTGGACGCTTGTTGGAAGCTCTATGGAATACTCAAACTCTACTACTCATTTTTGGAGCTACCTCTACCCACTTAACTAGAGCATAGGAAACTCAATATTTTGGGGTTCATTCAGTATACCCTAACTGCTCCCAATCCATAGTTACCCAATGGCAATAATGTTCCTGGTGGATCCAACAACATTGGCCCCCTAAAGGAAATAAAAGGGGAATACTTGGAGGAGTGGGGGCTGGCCTTGGTATTCTGGAACAAGCTGAACTTGCAGCTAATGAAGAATGTCATTCATTAGAAAAAGACTCCACCTAAAATAGGTCATACGGAGGGAATGCTGTTTCAAGAAGAAGGAAAAGGGTGGGAAGCAGCATGGAAAGGACAATAAAGCCTTAGCTCCATGGATAGGACAGAGTATAAAAACACATGCACAAATCCAACAATGAGAACATGCCTATATCCTAACTTTACAGAATCTATTGTCTATGCCAATGCAAATGGAATCTGAAGTAGCTATGAAACAATGGCCAACAATAATGGGTACAGAAGCCCAGCCAGACACAATATGAGACTCATACAGTTCTTCTAGATTTTAGAAAAATTGGGATGGGAAATGCAATCTACTTGGGTATATTTTAAAATCCAGGCATCTCAGTTAGATCCTAAGCTTAAATTCTCAGGAGTTCAACTGGCTGGCATAGGGACCATCTTCAATAACACTAGAATACTTCCAATGAGAAGTAAATGGGCCATATTTAAATATAATAAATAATGGGAACCTATCTCACAATCTGATTGTGGCACTTTGCACCACACCCACATCCATCCTGGCCTCTCAACTGTTTCATTTGCTTACAGATGTTTCCCGGCTACAAAAGCCCTCTCTATCTTCAAATATCTTTCTGTTTCTGCTTCCTTTGTAAGTTTTCTGCAAGGAGATACATTACAGTCAAAAGAGGAGATGTAAGTGGGTTACATATACAGATGCATCTGAGTTTGAGGACAAAGACCTTTCTCATTTGGGGGGAGAAGTAGAACGGGGCTATTCACTGGTCACGTGTTTCAGCATTTCAGGCTCTCTCACCATCTCCACCTCCACTTCCAGACAAACGAGGCTGCCATCGTCCCAAAGCTTCCCATGGGTACTGACGTCCCTGATGTGACAATATGGAACTATTTATACCTTGGTTCCCTATGTTTTGTTTCTAATGCGTTCATTAGCATCCTGAGCTATATT